TAAGAGAAAATAGCGTTTATCAGTTTATTTAAATGAGCCCGACTAGAAACCTAATTTTACCGAACCAGCTGCAAATTAGATTTCTTAAAGAAAATGCAATGTTAAAAATATCAAGATTCTTATTACCCTTCGGCCAGTCAGTGAAAATTAAATTTTTAACCCTTGTGACAGTGTCTCCAGGTTCGAAAGAAAAGGTGTAGCGTTTTCCCGAAACCAACAGTATATCTAACAAAACTTTGTTTTCCAACTCGGGATTGTTGATCTCGACTGACGACGAGGTGTCAAGTTGTGCGGTGTGTGATGAGAGTCTAGAAGACGATGTGGTTGAATCGCCTCCCGAATGGGAATTTCTACTCACAGCCTGTGTTGTTTGGACAATTGTAGTGTCAGCAATAGAGCCTCTATGTACCGTTGATTGTGACGTATCTGCATTGACGCTACCGTGAGGAGCCTGAGGTCCTGGTTGTGTCATTATTATTTAAGAAGGTAGATTTTGGGGTGGAATGTCGAGTTTAAATTATAACAGAGGATATAGATAGATCGATGACAAATGGAATTAGTAAATTAGGAAATCTTAGATATTAACTGAATAACTTGTTGTTCAATGCATCTTTATTGAATTCACGTTCGAGTTGCACAATGTTGTCACATTCTACACGTGATGTTCCCTTTGGAAACGTGAAAAAACGCTCGATCGAAAAAAACAAAAGTAAAAGGAATTCATGATCGCAATTTGTCACACAGCCAATCATTAAATACAAATTTAACATGTCACGTGAAAACATCATAATAAAGGCGATCCTTCGAATCCGCTTTCCTCGAAAAGAAATGTCGGAACGTAGGGTACTGGTTCTTGACAACGGGGCGTACACCATTAAAGCCGGATATGCCTCGATTACACAACAACCAAGGTATCAGTTGACCCAATTGATGGAGCTATTTGAGCCGTGATAAATGGTTGATTCATATGAAAAGGATAAATAATATAACATGCATTACACAGAATCATTCCCAACTGCAGGGTTACCCTCGGCAAAGGAGACAAAAAAACTTACATAGGAGATCAAATAAATTCTTGCACCGATTTTTCCGGATTATATTACCGATTACCTTTTGAAAGAGTTCAGTAGAGACCTTTGCACCTTTCACATTTGGCCTCAAA